AAAGTACACGTTTTCGTTTGTTGCGGATATCTCGAGCGAAGCGTTCTTTGTTGCAGCATTGTTTGAGGATATCTCGAGCGAACCGCTCGATGTGCACTACATATTGTTTTTCTCCTGGGGACTAGAACTTCAAGGATTTCTCTGGTGAGATGCTTGATTTCACGTGCCCAGGTCTTGAGGATGTCTCGAGCTAGACGCTTCGTTTCACGCGCCCAGGTCGCCCAGGCAGATGTCAGGCGTGAGGAGTTGTTGAGGATGTCTCGAGCGAGACGCTTCTTTTCACGCGACCAGGTCCCCCAGGCATATGCCCACCATGAGGATGTGTTGAGGATGTCTCGAGCGAGACGCTTGCTTGTATCCAGATCGCCCAGGCGGATCTCTAGCATGAGAAGGTGTTGAGAACGTCTCGAGCAAAACGCTGGTTTTCACTTGCCCAAGTCGCCCAGGCTGATGTCTAACTTGAAGATGTGATGAGGATGTCTCGAGCGAGACGCTTGCTTTCACGTGACCAGATCGCCCAGGCGGATGTCTAGCATGAGGAGGTGGTGAGAACGTCTCGAGCGAAATGCTGGATTTCATTTGCCCAAGTCGCCCAGGCTGATGTCAAACTTGACAATGTGTTGAGGATGTCTCGAGTGAGACGCTTGCTTTCACGTGACCAGGTCGCTCAGGCGGATGTCTAGCATGAGGAGGTGGTGAGAATGTCTGAAGCGAAACGTTGGTGTTCGTTGTCGGTTTGTTTTGGGGCGAAAGAGACCCGCTTGTTGTCACGTTTGTTTTGTTTTGGCGCGAGGGAGAGCCACGTGCGTTCACGCTTGTTCCGCTCTCTGGCGCGAAAGTGATTCACGTGGTTTCACGTTTGTTCCGCTCTGGCACGAAAGGGGCCCACATGGTTTCACGTGTGTCCCGCTCTGGCGCGGCATGGACCCACGTGTTTGCGCGCTCGTTCTTCTCTGGGGCGAAAGGGACCCACGTGTTTTTACGTTTGTTCCGCTCTAGGGCGAAGGAGACAGCCTGGTTTCACGTCTCGTCCGCTTTTGTGCGAAAGGGAGAGCCACGTGGTTTCATGATTGTTCCGCCCTGGGGCGAAAGTGACCCACGTGCTGTCACGCTTGCTCCGCTCTGGCGCGAAAGGGGCCCACGTGTGTTCACGCTTGTTCCGCTCTGGCGCGAAGGGGACCAACGTGTTTTCACGCTTGCTCCGTCCTGGCGCGACGGGGAGAGCCGCGTGCGTTTACGCGCGTTCCGCTCTGGCGCGGAATGGGCCCACGTGGTTTCGCGTGCGCCCCGCTCTGGTGCGAAAGGGACCCACGCGTGTTCACGTGCTCGGGCAACCTGGGGGGGGGAATATCTAACATGTGGTCGGCTGGAGAGTGGGGGGCCACAAGAGCCAGAAACAAATAACGAGTCGGCACCAGATGTGTAAGAACATGGCTCGTTCCATCCTGGGACCCTGGGGAGACTCTTGCGGCCTCCTTGGGAGGCCTCCTGCGGCGAAAGGGGCCCATAGTTTTTCGCGCCTGTCCCGCTCTGGCACGAGCGGGACCAGCGTGTTGTCACGTTGATTCCGCTCTGGCGCGAAAAGGGCCCACGTGCGTTCCTTCGTGTTCCGCTCTGTGTGTTTCCACGTGTGTCCCGCTCTGGCGCGAACGGGATTCGCGTGTTTTCACATGTGTTCCGTTCTGGGGCGAAAGGGACCCGCGTGATTTCAAGTGTGTCCCACTCTTGCGCGTAAGGGGCCCACGTGTTTTCACTCTTGTTCCGCCTTGGCTCGAAATGGAACCACGTGTTTTCACGCGTGTTCCGCCCTGGGGCGCAAGCGACCCACGTGTTTTCACGCTTGCTCCGTTCTGGGTCGAATGGGACCCACGTGTTGCCACGCTTGTTCCAGGTCGCCCAGGCGGGTCTCTAACATGAGGATGTGTTGAGGGTGTCTCGAGCGAAATGTTGATTGTCACGTGCCCAGGTCGCTCATGCTAACCATTTACATGAGAATGTGTTGGGGGCGTCTAGAGCGAAACGCTCGTTCTGCAGGATGTGTTGGGGGTGTCTCGAGCGAGGGCCCCGCCTGCAGCGAACGCCCCCCTCTGCAGGATGTGTTGATGATGCCTCTCGCGAAACGCTGGGCTTGCATTGTTTAAGGAGGTGTCGTGCGGGGGCCGTGTCGTCGTCTGTGTGCGTTTCGTTTCGGTTCGGATTCGCCCCACGATCGGCTCGTTCCACGTCGGAAATGAAACAGATGCTGATTCGAGCTGGTTGAACGCACCGCATGTTACGGATGCACCCAGCTTTGGGCGAACCGTGCGCGTAGGCAGCTTGAGTTTAGGGCCCAGACCAGTTCAGACGTGATTGGGGTGTCAGGGATGGCTTGACCAACAACGCAACAGAGAACAGCACAGTTCAACACAGCATGACGCAGCACACTGCAGCACAGCACGAATCAGTAACAATTTACGCCGAATCGCGACCTTGGTTGTTTGCGAGGGGCCTTGGCACCTCGGAGTGCCTCCCTCGTCAGGCGACGCCATGCAGTTTCAGGATGGTGAGCCGAAGCGCAGTCGTCTTGGTTTGTCTTGTTTCGTTTCGATTCGGGTCAGTTAGACCTTCGTCTCGGTTCGTATCGTTTCGGTTCGTCTTGATGCAGTTCGTGGCATTTTGGTTCGCCGAGCTTCGGTCCGTCCACTCTCGGTGCGTTCTCGCGTCGGTTCGGAGTCGCCCCCTCTTGGCTCGTCCCGCTACTGATCGGAAGCAGACCTCGAACTCGAGCTGGTCGAGCGCCCCGCGCGGTCCGATTGCGACCAGCTCGAGGTATGCGTCCCGGCAGCTTGAATATTAGATCCCGATCAGTTCGGTCAGGATTCGGATGCCAAGAACGACCTGATCTACAACGCATTATCAACGCAGCATGACACATGTCACGTCATCACAGCACAGCACAACACATCCCTTGGCACGGTACGTCAACAGCGTTATTGTGAGCATTGCTTCGTGTTTTGAGGAATCTCCAAGTTTCACAGATCTATATCCTTTCCCGGGTTCGTTGGTCGATCATGTTTTTGTTCGGGTTGCATTCGCACTTCGCGCGCGCGATGCCTCCAAGGCCTTCAGCCTGATGAACCCAGGCAGGCATTTCTGGAAGTTGTGGTGGCAAAAGCATGGTGACAGCGCGACTGTCAAAACAGTGTAAGTCCACCCGATGGCCTCGAGTGATGTGTTGTTGTATACTATGTGCAGGTGTGACAATAGTATTGCTGACCGCTGGGCAAACAAGGGCCCTGCTCTGGAGGACACCGCCGGAGGTGGTTTTGTTTGTTGAGGCGTGCGTGAGCATGGCCAGCACGCTCGTGCAGCGGCTAGGCTTCATCCACGCCTGTCAAAAAAAGGTGATGTGAAGCCTGGGATACTGACGGCATCGTAGACACCTCAGATATTGTCCTAGACCTCGAATATGACACGGCTGACGCAGAAGCGGCCAGCCTGGAGGAAGCGCTCCAAGTTTGAGAGGATCTCGGTTGGAAGCACGCCAGTGCCCGAGCTCGACTGATGCGGGGGCGGGGGAGCTTAGGGTTGTTCCTGGGCGGCCGCAGCTGTTTCAAGAGCACTCGGTCGTCAAGTGTGATGTTGAGGGGCCTGAGGGACAGTGCTTGTTGTTCTGTAAAGCCTGCCGGGCGTCGGCTGGCCAAAGGGTTCCCCCTGAAAAGGGGGGCTTCGCTGGAGCTTTCCTGGTGCCCAACACCAAGGGCTTAAGACCCAGAGGTCCCGCCCCTGCGGGTTCCTTCACCCCTCGGCCACTCACCGTCCTCTTAGGCTGTCTGCGTTTGAAGGCCTCGAGGATGAGGATATTGTTTGGCTCCACGGGAAGCTGATGGGGCCCAGTGCTGTACCGATTGGGGACGGTGGTGTCGGGCCTTCGTTTTTGGCTGGGCCTTCGCCGAGGCTCGCGTGCGGGGCCCCCTTGGGCTCGGCCCTCCGCTGGGAACAGGGACCCCGTCAGCTTCCACCAGTACGGGGTGTCTGTCCCGATCCTGGGCCTGGACAAAGCTGCTCACCGGCACGGCTTTGTTCCGCCCGGCTCGGCGCTTGCATGGATTCGGGAGGGCGGGCGAGCCAAGCAGGACGCCGAAGCCGAAGGGCCTCGGCCGCTCGAGGGCGCGAATAGCCCTTCTGTGCCGCCGCGGCAGCAGGCGGGCTTCCCGCCCATGGCTCCCCGGTCCTCCTCGCCCCTCCCTCCCTCCCTCCTCGCTGCCCCCCTTCCCCCTCCTCCTCGCCGAGACGCTCCCGAAAGGCGGCCGCGCCGGCGCTGCAGGGCCACGCGGCGGAGCGGCCGCGGGCGCTGGCGGCCGCGGCGTCGCTGCTGACCGCGCTGGGCGCCGGGCTGCCGCCCGGGGGTCCCTCCCTCGGGTGCGGTCGGGCGGCGAGTAAGGGGGGCGGAGAGGGGCGGCAGGCGAGGGCAGAGGTCCTCCTCCTCCTCCTCCTCCTCCTCCTCCTCCTCCTCCTCCTCCTCGAAGGTGCACGGGAGGCGGGGAGGTCTCAAGCCCCGTCGACGAGGGGCTCCCTGAGATTGTTCACACCGGGCGTTTGCGCGTGATCTCAGGCCCCGGGACCCTCACAGATCGATCGGGTTCGAAAAATGGCGCAGAAAGATCGGAGAGCGGTCTTGCTGGTGGAATTCGACGCCGACGGACGCAGGATGTCTGCAGTCGGCCAACGGTTTCTTCATCGCCATCGTCTCCACGATCCTCAGTGCTGTTTCAGGTCAATCCTCAGTTTGAGGAAATTCAGTGCAAGTCTGCCCTGCGTAGTCTCTGGGAGACTATGGTTGCAGAGGCCTCCGATGCATTTGACGTCTGCATAATCGGCGCAGGGCCTGGCGGTTTGTCGGCGCTGTCGGCGATCCTTGAGCCATACTCGCACGACCACCTGACCACCGAGCAGGCCGAGCGCGCGGCAACCTGCAGCGGCCCGAAGCAGCCGTCCGTGTGCGTTGTGGACCCCGAGCCATGGCTCGGCGCATGGAACCGGCGCTTCGAGGAGCTGGGCATCTCGGGCGTTGCGTCATGGGAGAGCGATGAATGGGGGGGTGAGGAGAGGTGCACTTTCCTGTACCCTGAACGGGCTTCTGGGGCCCACAAGGGGCACGGAAGGTGCACAGTCCCCCACCTCCCCACTTTGCATCGCCCCCCCAGTACGCACCGCCCGAGCATCCAGTGGCTGCGCTCGCCCGCCATGGCGCACCCGGACGTCTTCGACGCCTGGAGCCTCATGGCGTTCGCGAGGGCGCAGGGCCGCTCCGCGGAAATGCAGCCAGCGGGTGCAGACCAGTGGAAGGACACCGGCCGTGTCGAAGTCCTGGGCTGTGCCGGGTGCGGGGCAGCGGAGGCAGGCGTACGCTCGGGGCGTCTGCTTTCCTCCCGGGGCGCGCGGAGGATGGGGCGCCGTGGGTGGGCGAGCTCTCCCGAGTTCGGCCATACGCGCATGAGTGGCCTCTCGCCGGAGTGACCTTTGGGTGCGGGCCCGCACGGGTCCCACCAGCACCGGAAGGCGCGCTCGGATTGCTTGGATTTGGCTTCCCTCGACCGCGCACCAAAGGTCGCTTGCCTAGGGTCACTCTTGCGTGCAGCCGGCGAATGCATGTCGAGCCTCCCCTCCCCCGCTGCTGGTCTACTCCAGGCCTTGGAGTCAGCCCAGGCCATCCGTGGGCTGCAGGATGTGGGGTCGGGGTTATTTGGCCTGCCGTCTTCGTCCCTCTTCTCGGACTTCTGCGCGGAGTTGAGCTCGCGACTGCCCCACACCTTCGTGCGCGAGCGTGCCGCGTTCATCGAGGGCTGCGATGGCGCCTTCGAAGTGCGGCTGGCCGATGGCCGCTCCATCAAGTCTCGGTCATTGGTTCTGGCCCTGGGCTTCCCTGGCCCGGCCATCGTCCCATCCGCCTTCGCGGGGTTGCCAGCCGATGTGGCATTCCACACCGAGGACTGCGATCGGTTGTCCACCCTGGCCAAGGGACAGCGGGTGCTCGTGATTGGCGGTGGCCTGACGGCGGTCCAGACCGCTCAGCTGGCCATGAGGAAGGGTTGCCACACGACGCTGTGCAGTCGGCGACACCTGGTCACGCGTCAGTTCGACATCTGAAAGCCAGAGCCCTGGGAAGTCGATCTTCCAGAGGTGTTCCTTTGGAGCCTGCCTGACGTGCTTCTGCTCGCGCGCTCGCTCTGCCAGCGGGCTTCGACTGCACTTCCAGCGGGGTGGGGGACCCCTCGCCTGGGCCCTCTGGGAGCAAGTCTGCTTCCCGAGGGGTCTCCGGCTTTCGAGACCTCCCCCTGCAGTGGTTCGACTTCCGCAGCCAGGGCCACCTCCGCCACGCCTTTTGGAGCGAGCCTGCGGGGGGGCGGCTCGCCAAGATCCGGGCGACCAGGGGCGGCGGCTCGGTGCCGCCCTCGTACATGGAGCAGCTGCGGGCCGCGGAGGCGGCGGGCCAGCTGAGGGTGGTGCTCGGCGAGGTCGAGGCCTGCAGCTTCGAGGGCGGGGTGGTGGAGACCACCCTCCGCGGGGAGGACCAGAGGTTGCGGCAAGGGCGGGTGTCGGGAGCCTCGAGATGGGGATCCGTGCAGCAAGCAGGGGTCAGCCAGAGCGCCGGATATTGCAGGGTCCTACAGAGCCAGGGGTGCATGGACCCGGGCTGGCGTGCAGGATCATGCAGGACCTTGCAGGATCTTGCAAAGCCTGGCTGACCCAGGTTTGGAGCGACCCGGGTCTGTAGATCCCCGAGCGTGGCCGAGGGTGAGTGCGCCGCCGCGCGGGGCCGCCGCCCTTCGGGCAGCCGCCCGCTTCAGCTGCAGCCTCCGCGAGGAAGGCGCCCAGCAGTTCGACAGGGTCGTGCTCGCCTGCGGGCACAGGCCCGGCTGCCTGGAGCTCCCGTTGCTCGCCGATCTCTGCAGGCGGTGGCCCACCGAGATCCAGGGCGGGCTGCCGGTCTTGTCGGAGGACCTGCAGTGGGGCGGCCTGAGGCAGCTGTTCGTCGTCGGCGCCCTCGCGGGGCTCCAGGTCGGCCCGGACGCGGCGAACCTCATGGGGTGCCGCAGGGCGGCGCACGTGGTGGCACAGACGCTCGGGCTTCGGTCGTGGCTGCGGCAAGATAGCCAGCCAGCCAGCAGGTCAGGGAGGAAGAGGTACCCATACCGCTGCCCTCGCTCCGTCTTCCCCGTGTTCGGCCTCCTGGGAGGCCCTCGTCGCCACCGCTGGATTCGCCCCGAAGTTCTGGTCAGAACGCACCCCGGGAGAGGTCACGGGAGTAGCGGTCTCAGTACTTTTTGGTTTCCCCAGCAGGTCCATCTCTGTGTGCGGCAACCGGTACTCCGCGCTGGAGTCGGAGGACAGCGACGGGGCCAGCACGGACGCGGACTCCGATGAGAGCGACGCGCCAGCCAGCGGCGATTCTTTTTGAGTGATTTGCGCGCGGACATTGCGCCCGCTGGCGCTGGCCCCTGAGTAAGTGAGCAGAACTGCTGACAGAATTCGATGTGAGCGTCGCAGCTCGACGATGCGATTGTCGTGCTCATGCTTCTTGATCAGTTTTGTTTTTCTTGCGCTGGGCCAGCCTGGCCGAGTGTCGAGGAGAGGCGATATTTTTTCAGGGCACACGCGGCTTCACCGAAAGGGTGAGATCGAACGACGCTTTCGTCGCAACTGTACCCTTACGAGGCGTGGTATCCGCAGGGTGGCTGATCGGTTTTAGGAGATTGAGGGGTGATATATTTGGCCAGCGCGGCCAGAGGTTGCAATCGAAAGGAAGAACAGGGCATCATCATCATCATCAGCATAATCATCATCATCATCATCATCATCATCATCATCATCATCATCATCCTCAGCAGCAGCAGCAGCAGCATCAGCATCATCATCATCACCACCATCATCATCATCATCATCATCATCATCATCATCATCGTTGTCGTCGTCGTCATCGTCATCCGCAGCAGCAGCATCGTCGTCAGCATCATCATCAGCATCGCCATCATCATCATGTTCATCATCATCACCATCATCATCGCCATCACCATCACCATCATCATCATCATCATCATCATCATCATCATCATCATCATCATCATCATCATCATTATCAGCATCATCAACATAATCAGCATCATAGTCATCCTCACGCTCGGCACTATATGCTCAGTGCATCAGTGCACGCTGGCGCACTAGACCTGTGTGCTTGGATGCCTTCGGCTGATAGCTTGTTTCTCGCCTCGCGTTTGACTTGCATGTGTACGAACGCTTATACTAGAAACATCATGTCGACTCGGCAAGCGCCTTGAGGGTGTCCATGAGCAGCTTGTCATCTCATTTTGTGGTTGTGTAACCATTCATTCGCATCAGGATGTTTCGCCGTGGTCTACAGCTCTGCTTGTCCCACCATTTCATGATGCCAATCTGCACCAGCTGCGATTCCAAATAGGAAAGTTAGGGTTATGATGATTACGATGTCGAAGACCATGCCTTACTCTACTCTGACTTATGCTACCCGGCGTTGTTTTACCCTGCCGTGTGTGACCGTGTTGAGAGTCAGTTTAATGTGTTTGGAAACATTTGCACCCAGCATTGAGGCGATGATTTTGGACCAATTCTATCCCAGGGTAAGAGCTATGATAAGTTAGCTTGTTTGGATAAGAACTCCTTGCGCGCCCATGCCCTACTCGGCTTACCCGCTGTTTCACTTGTCATCTCAATCCTCAAGACAGATGTACATCATGAAGCGTCGCATCTTAAACGCATTGAACATGACGCGCAACTCAATCATTGGGCCCGTCGGCACTGCGCAAAATTGCAATTACTGGCTCCGCGGCAGCGCTGTCCGACATCGCCGATGGCGGTTGCGCGATGTTCTCTAGTCCCACCATTGCACCATGCCAGATGGCCCATGTTCGTCAGGAGACTTGCGCCATCAAAAATCATGATCGGCCAAGGTAAGAAGTGCTGCCCAGGCGATCATCATCTGGTGACGTCGGGCCGGGCGGCCCTCGCGCACTGACCCATGTGCTGTTTCGACTAGACGTAAGAGGGGCCCTGGGCCGAAGTCACCCTTGGTGCGGGCCCATCGGGGCCCCCCCGATCGCCGAACGCGGTGCGGTGGCGGCTGCTTGCGCGCTTGGATTTGGCCACCTTGCGCGCCCTTGGTCCGCGCACCTAAGGCTCTGGAGGTAGGAAAGTGGTGTGGCGTAAAGGGGTATGGTGCCAATGTTGAGTCTGGCGATGCCATCTATCGTAGATAGCATCTCGATTTCCACGATTGGCACCACACCCCTTTATGCCATATCCCTTTCCGACCTCCAGAAAGGTCATTCTTGCCCAGGATCACTCTTGCGTGCAGCCGATGCTTGGCTGGACTCTAGTCCTCGCTGGCCAGGGCACCGGCCCCTCCCGGCCGCTGTGGCAGTCAAGGTTCGGGTATCTTGCTTTAAATCGGGCACGCCCCTCTACAGGAAGAATATTCGAAAACAGTGAGCATTCCTTTTTGCTATTTTCGAATAGTTGTTTCTTCTTTTCTTCCAAAACCCGCCTGTAATTAGGAGGACATGCCCGATTTAATATTGCTGCGGCGCATCTTTTGTGTGAGACCGCGGGGCGCCCTCTCGGAGCCATCCGGGAGGCCATCGGTCCAAGAAGGGGGGACCTCAATTGCCCCCCCCCGCTTGGACCCACAGAATGGATTCATTGTGGCTGCGTTGGGACGTTTGGGTGCTCCTGTGGCGTTTTGGGAGGTCCTTCGAGGCCGTCTCCGAACGAGAAGGGGCCCCTCTTGGGGATCTCTTCGGCGATCTTGGAGCGGTTCCGAAGCACCAGAAGCCCATTCACAGCGGAAATACGGGAAGGTATTTCCAACAAGTTCATTCGTTGTTCTAGATGTTCGTCTCTCGGGGGTGTCCTTGGGGGCTCCGTGGCCACTGGGACCGTCTTGAGGCTCATTGGCCGTACAGCAGCTCTCTTGGAGCCCTCCTGGAGGGCCGCTTGGACATCTTGGAGGCGTCGGAGGGTGAATATGGTGGCTCTGACGGCCCAGAAGGTGCGTTGAGAGGTTCGTCACCCCCCTCCCCGCGGCCCCCCCCCTTCAAACGGCATTTTGGACGCCTGGGGAGGGGGGAAAGGGGGAGAGGTACAGCCAATCATGTCACACACTTCCTCGCCCCCAGCAAGCGGGGTGGATCTCTGCTATCTTCTCCACGGTTCGACTCTGTCTTCAGGTCCGTCGTTCGATTCTTTCGACGGCTACCCTAAGGTTCTCGTTTCGCATCACATTGCATCCGCCGCTGTGTCGTCGCAGCTGTTTTGATTCAAGCCATTCATTTGGGGCTACCTAGCGGCCTTCCAGCACGTTGACCTCTGTCACTATCAGCATGGCCTCAGCAGGCAACCAGGCCGAGGCAGCTGCGGAGTGTGCGGTGGCGAAGCCCGGGTTCGAGGCGTCGAAGGCCAAGGCCGGCAACGGTCGCCCCATCAGTCTGGCCTCCGTGGCCACGCCCTCGCGCGGCGGCAGGTCCCGCGAGGGCGGCGCGGGTGCCCACAACGGAGGTGCTGACAAGGGCAGCAGGGGCCCCACCAGCGCGCTGGAGGATGGTTGTCGCTCGGGGGTCTGAAGTGCAAGCCCCTGTCCTGCCCCTTGTCAGAGGGCAACGGTTGGACCTTGCACTCTCTTCCAGTCGCACACGGCCATGCCAAACTCTAGCCTTCCTTCGTCCGCCCAATCTGGCGGCCCGCTTTGGGGGGTAGACGCCTGATCTCTCCAGCACAGGGATGAATCGGTATCGCTTCGTAATCGCCCCCTCTGGCGATCTCTCGGATTTCTCAGAAAACCGTATAGAGTTTCAACGGGAAGGTTTGAGATTTCCGCGCAGAACCGTCTCTTCGTCCTCTTATTATTCTTCTTATTCTTATTATTATTATTCTTATTATTCTTCTTGACCATCAGAATCATCATTATCGGCATCATCAGCAGCAGCATCATCATGTCTCTTCTGCGCACGAGGAGTGAGAGGAGAAGGAGGAGGAGGAGAAGGAGGAGGAGGAGAAGGAGGAGGAGGAGGAAAAGGAGAAGGTAAAGGTGGAGGAGGAGGAGGAGGAGAGGAGCGAGGAGGAGGAGGAAGTGGAGGATGGCGCGGGAAAGCCAAATTCACACAAGGAAACAAAGCAAAACCAAAGACACGATAGCTCTGGTGCCAAAAACTTGTAGGACAACCGCTGGAACAAGAGAAAACAAAGCAGCCGGCATCTCTTACTACTACAACGTACAGCTCTCACTACATCTCCTACTACAACGAAAACCGCATAACTTCTCACAAGTTCAGAACAGTTCCTTGTCACAGCCACTAATACAGCCGCAGTTACACTTCTCACTGCAGGCAGCAGCACAGCTCTCACTACAGCTATTACTGATGCCTCCTACTACGCTCATCAAGCGGGCCATACTGCAGCTCCTTTGTAACCAACCAGCAGCACGATACCTAAACAATTAATGTACGGCTCTCACTACAGCTCCGACTAGGACTCTCACAAAAGCTCTTCACACAGGTCTCGCAACAGTTCTTACTACAGCCTCGCGCATAGCTCTCAACAGCTGTGGGTCAGGTCCTACTACAGTTGATGGCACACATCCGACTACAGATCATAGCGCAGTTTTTATTGTACCTCCCAATGCAGCCAGTGGCACGGCTTCCACTGACGTACTTTCCCCAATCCAAGTCCCAAGGCATGCTCCATTACGGCTCTTATGTTTCCCTTTTGTAGTTCTTGTTGCAATGCATTTTACAGTTATCATTGCAGTTCCTCCTCTTCCGCACGCTGCTTATCTAAATGCAGTTCTTAGTACAACCATTGGCACAGCCACTAAGACAGCTCCCTGGACACCCTATTTCACAACCGGCCCCAGTCGTAGAGCTCGAACTACAGCTTGCTACCTGCCACCCCCCCTCACACCCAACCCCCACCTCTCCCCCCCGCCCACCCCCACCCCCACCCAAAACACACACACACACACGAACACTGCAACTCCTAAACCAGATCTTGCTACAGCTCTTGCTACAGGCAGTACTACAACTCTCACAGCTGCTCCCCGAAAGCGCCCACTACAGAGACTACAACCCTTACAGCAGCTCCTTCCATATCTCTTACTACAGCCTCATATAGCATATGCTATGCTAGTCGCTCGCACAGCCCTCATTACAATTGTTGCTACAGTTTCTCTTGCAATGTGCGGTGCAAGCATACTAGCTACAAGTTTTGTTGAAATTGGTGGTGCAAGTCTACTACATGTCCAAGTGGGGCTGTTGTTTGTGCAAATTCGACCACATGCAGTAGCACAGCCTTCGGAACTGCATTGGCTAAAGCCCGCACTAAGCTTCCAACTGCAACCAACAGTACTGATAATACATATCCCGAAGCAGCTCCTGGTAGAGTCCCCCGTGCAGTAACTTGCACTGCTCTCACTACAGCTCGTACGGCCATGTATACTACGTATCTTACTACACTTCCTGCTGCAGTTCCCTGACACAGCTTCCAGTACGGTACCCATGCCTCCGTCCCTGGCTTGGGGTTCCCCGTGCCAGGGGCGGGGCGGTGTGCGCGGCGCGGGCGCGCGTCGCCGGGTATTTGAGCCTCGGTCGAGGTGCGGCGTGCCTGATCGCGTTCGTTGCTTCCTCCTTTCTGGTGTTCTCCCTCCTCCTTCCTTCTCCTGTTCCGTGTCTCGCCTTACGTAGCGCCGCGCACATTCGTTTGAAAAAGTAGAGTTTCATTGATTCCCATGGTCGACGTACAAGAAATGACGTTTTGGAAGGAGCCACGTTATGAGGGGGCAACAGTTACGATGATTCGCGGTGTTCATGTCCCAGGAATGGTGTTTTGGCACGATTCAGTGCCGCCAAGACGCAATAGTCAGGTTGATCCGTGGCGTTGCCCTCTGTGGAAATGAACCGTTGTAGGGGCCTTTGACGAAGGAGCTTTTGGGAAGGCTTTATTCCAACACCAGTGGTGACCGTGATTTAACACTGGTCATCCTCCTCCTCCTCTCCTCTTCCTCCTCCTCCCCCCCTCCTCCTCCTCCTCCTCTCCTCCTCCTCCTCCTCCTCCTCCTCCTCCTCCTCCTCCTCCTCCTCCTCCTCCCCCTCCCCCTCCTCCTCCCCCTCCTCAGTATCATCATCATCATCATCGTCATCATCACCACCAGCATCATTATCATCGTTATCATCACCAGCATCGCCATCACCGTCATCATCGTTGTCATCATCCGCATCATCATAATCGTCCTCATGGGGGCGCGTGCACGTAAATGACTTAGCGGGGTTTGGGGTGTCGGTGTTATCGATCCTCATTGACGTTGCTCCGAGGTCATCCTGGCTCGAGGGCTTGTGGTACCGAATGCAGTCGGTGATCGGGGTCCGTTTTGCCACATTAACCTTCATCCTGCGAGACGTCGCCGACCGCGATTGATACCGCAGCGCGTCTGTGGCCACGGGGAGACCTGCGGAGTTGGTGCCTCCCCCCGCGCCAGCGGCGGTCGAAGTCAGCCGTGACGGCGCGAGCCTGACCGCCGAGGCGGTGGAGGACATCGTGCGGCGAGTTCGCGAGGACTCCTGTGTGTGCGAGTTGACCTGCAGCACGTCCGATCACGACTTGCACTTAGTGTTGCTGACGACTGGCGCCATCTGCACGGGCCAGGTCTGTACTGTTGTGATCTATCGCGGGTGGCAGCTGGCGTGCGCTCGTCGCCATGGCGGTGGTGCCCGCCCGTCGGGAACGCCTAGGGGACACAGGAAGGCCGCTTTCGGTGCGGGAGTTGTCGAGTAGCTTGCTCCCTGGGAGGCTCGTAGCCATCAGATAGCCTGGCGAGGACCTTTGGCACGAGAGGGTCCTGATGCGTCCTGGACTTCGGGACGCCGTTGGGGAAGTTACCAAGTGGTGGATCGTGGCGCCAGATGGGGACTTCTACGAGGAAGACATCTCCATGGAGGCTGGCGAGGCGAGTGCTTCGTGATGCTCGATTTGGCCTGCTCTTGCCCCCGAGCGCTTCGGTGCAGGTTCTACAGGTTCGCGGGCGACGCCTATCCCAGTGACGATCGTGTCCGCCTCGCGGCCCTGCAGGCCGTGGCACGGATGCGATCCGCGGGACAGGAACCCCCTGACCTGCCGTATTTCGTCAACGCGGACGGTGCCATGGAGCCTCTTGGCGGGATCGGCCGCCGACGTCGGCGCGGCGGGCCTGCAGGAGGCGAGGCAGTGGTTGCCGCGGGGCCTGCTTTGGCTGGGGGCACCGCGACCCCCGATTCTCTGCTGCCCGTCGGCCTGGAGGCGGCCGAGGGCGCTGGCAGGGCCGCCGCGCCTGGGGCCGTGGCGCCTGGCCGTCCTGCCCGGGCGCCCCGCATCTCGCGATGGCCTGGTGCGGCTGGTGACCGAGAATGCCGACGGGCACGAGACGCTGGGCATGGAGGTGACACCTCGCGGTGGCGACGTCATCATCACGTCAACGGACGGCCTGGTCTTCAGGCATGGGAATTTCTTGCGGGTGAACCATGACTGCGTGGAGTTCGTCAAAAACCTGAAGTCGCGCTGCGCGGCGTTGTGTGACGCTGCGGGCCTCTCAGCGGCGGCTGCGCGTCGTCCTGACGAGCCTCCTCCCCCCTCAGACGATGACGCCCGCGCCCTGTGGGTCGCCTACGACGAGGTCGGGGAGAGGTTCGAGAGCTGGAAGAAGGCGGTGCAGGAGAGCAGGGAGGGGCCGATCTCGGCCGCGGAGGTCCAGGGCCCGCCTGGCACTTTGTACCTCGCTATGCACGTCGAGTCCTACGGGGACGATCCGCGGCGCCAGTGGCAGGAGTTCGCTCGCTCCAACAACGCCGCGAAGACGGACCGCGTCTACCACGAGATGACCACGCCCACCGAGAGTTTCAAGCTGTTCGGAGAGCACGACCAGCTCAACCTCGGGGCCTCCGCAGGCATCGAGAAGATGGTCAGGAGGATGCTCGAGGTTATCGACGCCTACTCGGTGGGCGGTGGGGCGCCCTCCTGGCGCGTGGCTGCTGCGCACGAGGGCCAGGCGAGCCACGGCGCCGCGATCGCCCCCGCCTCGAGGAAGTTGGGCGTGAACAAGTTGAAGGGCCATGCCGAGATCGAGAGCGCGCGGGCGCGCCAGGTGCGGCCTGCAGCAGATGGCGCAGACGCCGGAGGCGGCCAGGGCGCTGCTGACGGCGGCCGTGGCCGCGGGGGCGGCGCTGATGCAGGACGGGGCGGGCCGGGCGGCGCAGCTCCGAAGGATGGTTGACCGCGATCACGGGCTGAGGACAGGCCCTCCACGCCACAGCCCGCTGAAGGCGATGGATTTTCGGACGCCTGGTCGCCCTCGGCTCTGTGAGCAGTTCCCGCCGGCCCTCCCGCGGCGCGAGGCTGCCCCTGCTGCTGGCGGCCGACGTCGCGGGCGGTTTCGGGCCCGAGATCACGCGCGCCAGCTAGCGGGGGCATCTTCCGACGCATTCAATTGGCTGGCCAAGACCGACTCCAGCCGCCCTGATGCTGTCCGAGGTCGGCCAGGTTCGGCCGGCTGCGACCGTGACCTCCCGCGCCGGGC